CAGCTCGACAACTCACTTTTGTCAATTAAATGGCGAGAGCCAAACAAAACCTGACCTTTAATCGAATCCACAACTAAAAATTCGACGCTTATGGGTGTCAGTAGTATAGTTACCTGCTATAACTTGATTTCGAAATTATTTCCACTTTCTGCGCTTTAAAGACAGTGATTCTGTTGAGTGTCAAGTGATTCACGCTAACTGTGCCGGCTGCATATAGTATTCTTTAGTTCTACTATTATTAGAGCATTTATTTTTCATTTAATGTGCACCCATCTTCTACATGTATGCTGAATAGCAAGATTCATTGGTGAACCTCTCTGAACAGTAGACCTTCAACAAATAGTAAAATTCCGCCAAAGCACTGGATTGCAAAGCACTATCACACAGCACCTATCAGCTAAATATATACCTAGAGCCCATTTCAGCCAAGTATCGCTCCATAGTATATGAGAACCTGCACGTCGCACATTTGCTGTACTGGACCACAGCAATAAAAGACGCAACCTCATCCATTACCATTAATAGTGCTTGCACGTGGAAGGCATCGATACTGCATATGAAATTATTTGAACCCAGGTAGAATGTTTCGTGGAAACGTTCTACCAACTGTCCATTTCAGAATTAGACGATTAACCAACCTCGAGAAAAGACTGGATATGCAGAGCAAATCTGGATGCCTTACTTCGTTCATAGATACCCGTTTCCAAAAAAGCACTTATCTAAACTGAATTCAGTTGAATCTCTTTAAATATTACAGCTTCCCTCCTCTGACATAGTGTTAATCCCTTTGTGTTCAAAATAATACGTCTTATGAATAAAGGCAAAGCACTGATGTTGGTAGAAGCGACGACAACTTAATTTTTATTAATGCTTTTAATCTTTAAAGAACCTACAAGAAATGCAATGAAATTCAATAGCAGGTGCAAAATATCTAAAGTAATTTTACGTCAATACATCGAAAAAATCTATATTATTCACCTGCTGTACAGAAAAGAAAATGACGAAAATGCAAACAAATGACGAGATGAAATCCGCAAATCTGAATCAAATGATTTTTCAGAAATGCTTCACAAAATCTCTAATGTAAAAAGTCGACAAAAGAAAACATGAGCAGCAAAGCATGGCTTTATCGCGCTGATTGACATTCCGCGATTTATAACTCGCCTTTGGCAGATTCCACGGTTTCTTTCAAGGCGGCAACGATGTCTTGTTCCATATCCTAAAATATTTAAATACAGAGTGCTAGCGACAACTACATACTAATAATTAGCAGCCAATTTACGAAATGGTCTAGCACACGCCTACTGGTGAGGATAACGTCATCTCTTACAGCATATTTCTAGTTTTAGCATAGTTCTTTAGGGGCGCGTAATGGTCGTTGCATTAAACGTTACTATCTGATATGTATCTTGAATTCACTCTACTGCATTCACTCTCTGCTTTTCCTGGGCGTGAAGTAAACAGCATACAGGCTTACAGCTCTCATAGGCAATGATTGTCAAAAGCAATGTTGATGGTGGAGGCAATAGGTAAAATTTCGTGCATTTTGTTACTTGGGGTCAGTGAGACCAAAAATAGCATCTTAAGGAATGCGCAGGTGCATGCTTAATCGCGTTTTCTACTGAAATGATGCGCAAATCTGTGAGCAAATTTAATTGTTGCAACATCCCTGATGGCTCTGCACATCTCATTCATCTTACTGGCACCTACGCATCAGTGCTGAATTTGTCATTACCTCACCTCTTAATTACGGCTGAGACTGGAATGGGACTAAGCTTGCCAAGAAAGCTCTAAGTTTAAGGTTAATCGTACTTCACCCATGTATCATGCCACTCGCAGCCGGTTGAATACTTTCCTAGTTTGAACAAAAGTATATCGGCCATCCTTTCTACTTTTTCTGACAAACACTCTGAGACAGCCAGAGCTATAAGAGCAGTTACTTGCACATAAATATTCTTATTCTGACATGACAATAACCTTTTATGCGTACATATTTAAAGGCCTTATCATCATGGAGTAACGTTAGGAAAGGAGGCGCTTTACTGAGCAACAATTTTTGCACAAACTAATAAACCTGACCTGATCTAATCATAAGGAAATAATAAAATACATTTAATACATAGAACTGACTTTTTCGATTTTTCTGAACACCATACGAATGGTATATTTAGACATGATATACATGCTCATCACAGACACAAGATTTAACAGATGTGTATGGCGGCTACTGAGCTGCTCCACTTCTAGACATCGAAGGAATCATACACGCAGATAATGGATAGTTACCAGTCAGATTTCATAAGTCCTGTTAAATGCCTTAGCAACAATTCCAAAATACGGGTTAGAATGCAAAGAACATCTTAGAAAGTTGAAGTTCGCTTAGCTGACTTGTCCAGCGTTACAGATCTACTTCGAGGGACCATGGCTTTGCGCCATTTTAACTCTAGAATCCGTAAAACATAAAGAGAAGACATGAACAAGAAAATAAGACTACACAAAAACACATTAACAAATGCACAATAAAATCAGTATCTTACCATTGGAGGGACGTTAGGAGCGTATCGTTTGATGGGAATTCCACGACGGTTAACAAGGAACTTTGAAAAATTCCATTTGATTGCACTAAAAGTAGAACTTTCAATAAAAGTGAACTTTAAATCTTTCGACATTCAAATGACCAAAAGTCAAAAAGAATGAACACAGTGAGAACAAAAGTAAATAGAAGAGAACAACGCTTACGGTTCCAGTGAAAGATAAAACTTTTACATTGTTATATCACTTTAACCCTCCTTTTCATTAGTAAGGTTTTACCTTATCCTATTACTATTCAGCTGAGTTGCAAAATGCTGCGATTCTGGGTCAGAGCATGGTTCCCCTATGAACGAGAAAGCGTAAAAACTTTTTTAACGGAGCAATGGGCAATATAGTGTAAGAATGAAGCAGTTGTTCATTCTATACGTTAAAAGATAATCGAAAGTCGCCATGAATCTTCTCTTCAGTTCTTATCGCTTGCTTCTTATCGCTTGCTGGAGAAGCCTGTCAACACACATCGATGCATCGATCCTATCGATGTTGGGGTCAAAGGTTCCACTGTAGCTCGAGATCAAATACACACATGCTTAAGAAACTGCTCACTGCGTAGAAAAGCAGCTTTTAACGCCAAGCCGTGGCCTGGCATGCGAAATTTTTTCATGTTGCATTTCGGTGATATGAAAACTTTCTGATTAGCTGCGCAGCGAACTTTTTTATCCTCAACAATTTAGAGCGCAGCGAAATTTTGACTGCACTGACTTCTCAGCAATCACACGATCTTTTGGAGGAGTGATCTAGTTTGAAAGTCTAGAATTGTGGCATCAATTCCCACAAAATGCATTCTCGAACATATAAAGACGCGTTCTCGCAAATGTATCGATCTGTTCCCTCAAATACTATCTTAGACAGTCCTAATAGTCTAGTTAGGTACATCAATAGAGAGCGCAGCTTTTTCGAGTTTAACTTTACAGGAGAGTATGCTACCTTCATTTCTGTACACTGGGGTGCAAGAGTGACACTGTAACACCAACATCAAAAGAAGAGGAATCATTCTTGCTCGTGAAAATTATCAGAGAATGAATCTACTCACCTATATTATGAAGGTGTATGAAAGGAAACTGGAAAGAAGACTGAGGTACCAGAAGACATACTCGAAAACCAATTTAGTTTTGCGCCATTTTGGCTGTTTGTTCACTGAGATCGATTTTTGAAGATGAGTACAGAACGGAAAAATATTATAAAAATTTTAGAAAGTCAATTAATCTTTCTTCAGATTGTAACTACTTACAGTAGTGTTTTGCCTCTCACCAGCCCACTGGCAACGCACCTACCTGACAATTCCTCGATCTGTCAGAGTTGATCTTAATGAAGCTGCAGTTTCCATTTAGAGAAATGCGTGCCAAGTAAATTTTCTTCGTTTCTCTTGTAATATATTCAAGATATAGCAGCAACAATTGCGAATATGGTCAACAAAAGATGTCACTAATTTACAATTGTTCAACGTAAGTCACTTGATCCACTTAATACTCTGAAACTAAACATGTACAAACATTTCAAAGACATTTCATCGGAATAAGATTAAGCTGTTCTGCTGAAACAACCTTGCTTCTGTTGAAGCTGCGATTCTAGAAAAATCGGATAGAGGTGGGTACTTCCTCTACTTGAATGTACAAATTAACGGTCATGAAGTTTCACCGCACCCAGCTGATTATGTTTGGGGTTAGGATAGCAGAAGTATGCTGTGAATTTGCAGCGATTTTAGCATTTCTGACCGCCACCAACCCCCTCCCCACCATACAGATCTTTCCCTCAAAATAAGCAAAAATAAACGTATAAAATCTGTTCCAGAAAACAACTCCTAAGAATCAGCACCGCAGAAACCGAAGTAGTTTACATAAAATTTGTTATGTACAATCATTCAGCAACTATATCTGCAAATATTAGTGTGCAACACAGTAGACAAAATAAATATCATTAATTACAATCGCAGCAGTATAAGTTGAGAAAGATTTGGAGCAACTAACCTCGCAATGAAGCATTATATCGTCCACCTTATGGACAGGAGATAAACGTCATACGGAACCAAAATACAGGCATCCATATAATTAATCACCTCATCCAGTAATTAATCTGCATATTCATCACGGCACGCTGCGCCACATGCGAATCGCTGCAACCTAGCGATGCAAACTCGGCCTATTTCAAACCGCCAACAGGTATATATGAACACCAAACGGGATTCTCTAGAATCATTATGTGCACAGATTTTGCTAGTGTTTTTCATCGGTATTGAGTAGTATTGACATGACCGTAAGAGTGAAATGAAATGGCCCAGAAAATCACTTATCAACACTATCTTCTGACATCGTCAGATCAAAAAAGAACGGAAACTACATGCAAATACAATCTATAATCAATCAAATTATAACATACTTTACAAAAATTAAGGAAGAACTGAACAAGAACACTCACTCTAACAGGAAGCCATGTTGACTCTTCTTCAGGTACGCAAACAACGGGTGGGTTGACTTGCCGTTGACATCGATCTTGGAGTACATGTCGAAGGTAACATTGAACTTTTCCGACACGAACTTCTTGATTTCGCTCTCGGGGTTGGGTTCCTTGAAATGAAACGCGTCAAGAGGTGAGCTACGCAACGAATAGATGGCGAAAAATTCGTCTCAGCTTCAGCCTACCTGGCCGCCGAACTGGTTGCATGGAAAAGCCGCGATCCTCAGACCTTGATCTTGATATTTGCCGTACAAAAGCTGAAGTTGCTCATAGTTCTTCTGCGTCATTCCTCAGTTTGTCGCAACGTTCACCACTATTAGAACGTTGCCCCTAAACGTCGGCACAACAGATCAATTTGGAGAATCGAACAGGAACAATTGGCTTACTTGTATTTTGACATCGATACCATTCGGCCATCGATGTCTTTTGCCTCAAAGTCGTACACAGACGACGGATGGCTGGCCTTTGAAGAGGCCATACCAGCAAATGCAGCACAAGAAGTAACTACTAACGCAGCCAAACGCGGTGAAACACAACTACGAAGCATTTCGCATCGTTCAACGCAAGGTCTATATTATATTATTACAGTAAAATGTGCATGAGCCAAAAGTTTACACAAGAACCTATAGCAAAATGTTATCCGTAGTTATTTTTGACTTCTGACCGAAACTCTGAAATTCGCCATGTTAAAATTTCAGCAAATCAAAGAGAACTCCGCTTACACGGTGCGTCTGTCCGCCCCAAGGCAAAGTGACGGTATACTACACGACGCAATGTCAGCCAATAGTCCTGGTCCTGCAGCGGCCACTGTCGAATTGCGTTTCGTGGCGTAACATGGACGTGACCTTCTGGACGGAGTGGAAGGATGGAGTCCGTTTTGCACAGTGGAGTGGTTTACACTTCCTGCAATAAGTTCGCATCGTAATATGCTACAGTTTTGTGACAAATATTCTAATGATTCATTAATTCGTTCATCTCGATAACGTGCGAATGGAATGGATGGATCGAATGCAGTTGTGTATATACTATATGAATGGAAATATGAATGGAACCCCTCTCTCACACAATGGAATGAATTGCCGTAGCTGTAGAAAGTCTGCACCGTAACATACTCATGTTCTGGGAATTTATTTGGCCGATTAGACATTGCTGTTCTTAGACAGTTATGATTATATATCTATATATGGATTATAATTATTCTTTGCTTCAGTCCTGATACGCATTTAGTACCAAAGTCGCTTAAAAGTCATTGTTCACATTAAATTTTTTATACTCACGCATTTACTTCCATCAGTATACAGATAGTTATATTAATTTTGTCGTCTAGTACC